CCCCCTGGCGGCGCCATCTTGCAGCGGCCCCGCGCCCCCTGGCGACGCCATTTTATGGGGCGGGAGGGAAAAGGATTCCCGCAATTTAAGAAGTCGCCGTTTTGCAACCAAACTGTCCCCAGCGGTTCCCCATTACAGGGGCCAGCGGGAGCTAGTCGCGACTCTGAAGCGTTTTGGTGTTGGTCTTGGGCGCCAAGCGTTAATAGCACATGCACATCCCCCTTCTCGTTGAGGTGCTGCAGCAGCAGCTGCCGTCACGTCCAGCCTTAGGTTTCCTCAGAAGCTGTTGTGCACTACACGTGTTTCTGTGCTACGAGTATTTCTACATTACATATATTTCACAAGTGCTCGATCCGCAGCAGCACTCAACACGGGTGTTTAGCAGACAGCATCAGTGGAAGTATTAGGTGCCAGTTAGCATTTGACCCTTATTTCCTACTCTCTTTACCTTAAGAGTCCCAATTCAGCAGGCCTTCCTCAATATAACTGTGTTGAGATTCAAATCCATTCCTTAAAACAAAGAAAATAAATAAATAAATAAAATGGTTGGGTGTGGAAGAGTGCAGGAAAGAAAAAAAAATGAAGTTTGAATATCCTTCTCTGTATTACAATCCCTTGTCTCTGATCTACATTTGTAAATCTGTCATATGTAACTTAATTTTCCTTTTTATTATCCTCCTCTCAGCTGAAAGGCCAGCTAACAAAGAAAGTTTTTGCATGTAGATTAGATTTGCCTAGATTAAGCACTCCTAGAGTCAAACTCAAGGGGGTATGAAAAACTGAAATATGGAAAATTTATTGTGATTCTTAGATATGACTGGAATGAAAAGCTTGGGGTGGGGGGGAAGTAATATGACCTAATTTGATCTACCGTTTTTAAATGCAGTTTCCAAGGAGAAGAGCTGCCATGGACAAGGTGACAGCGGTTCTGCAAACGCTGCTCAGCGGAGGCAACCTAGGCACCAAGTCCAGCGTCCTTCTGCTCTCACCTCCATGGCTGACCTCAGAAACAGGTACAGCAGATAAAACAGATATAATTATGCTGCACGCGGTCCCTGGGCCGATGGCTGCAGAGCAGGAACAGCAGCTCCTTTGTGCTGCCCCCACGCTCTCCCCCAGCGGAGGGGCAGGGGGTCACCGATGGCATCGTCTCTGCTCCGTTGCACTCTCTGCTTTTGTTTGCTCTGCCCAGAGAACAGCAGAGCCGGGGCGCCACACTGCCGTGTAACGGAGCCTTGTTCCTTTTAATTATTGCACGCATTCAGATGATCCATAAATGTACAGCATCTGTTCATTAGGCTGAGTGCAATGTGAAGACTGTGTTAAACTCTGCAGCAAAAGTATATAATTTACACCAGGACCTCTTGAAATATGATCATCTTTGTTACAATCTCATAATCCTCATAAGGGGATTTGCATGGTACAGCAAGAGTTACAATGTAAGGGATTACAATTTCATAATCTGGGCCCAGGGGAAAAAAATTCAAATATTTACTTTTTTTTTTTTTTTTAAAACTGCATTTCAAACTTCCCTCCAGATCCAGAAACACAACCCTGGGTAAGTTGTTGAAGGGTGTTTGCACACAGAATACAGTATCAACATATCACTTGTGGGCTTTGCTCCATCTTGATTTCCAAACATGTGTAATTCTATCCTCTACCTGTGTCCGCCTGTTGTCTGCCTATGATACTTGTCATTGAAAAGCACGTGAAGTATATTAATGGATATTACATAGGCAACAAATGAAACAACTATTTCTCTTTTTCTGGTCAAATATACGAGAGAAAAAAAAAGTTTAAAAAGAATGAACCTTACACGGCAAAACCTATTCCTTCGCAGTTATTTAGGTCTAGTATGTGGTGGCAACGGGAGATAGATTTTTTTTTTCCGCTTTAAACCCCCACCGTCTACAATAGAACATGCGAAAATCCACAGAATCATGAAGCTCAAGACCAAAAACAATTCTGACAAAACCATTTTCAGCTAAGAAAGCCCAAACCACCTGAAATTTTACATGATATACCTTATATAATGACCCCAGCTTGCTGCATGCCTCTACTAAGAATGACGCTCCTGGTCCACAGGACATGATGGCACTGGGGTTCGGTTCTCCCATCCTGGTTTGTAGCATTTTTTGTAATTAATAAAGCAGCCTTGAGGAAGTTCTCACAAAGCTGTTGCCACGAACGGCAAAGCTGCAGCAGTGAGAGATGCAACTCAAATAGGTGCCGACACCTGCAGATACCCAAAGCAGCGCTGCTAATCTAAATTCACACGCTCAGTCAGCATACTCAGTTTTTAAAAGTTTAATAAAGCCATGGGCATATTTTCTTAATTACGAACCAAGAGAACTGCTCTGTGAGACCTTTTCCAGCTGGGTGAGGGGGTCCTGCAGTCCTGTGTAAGGCTCACCTGCAAATTAGGTAGGTTTAACTATAGGCTGGAGAGAAAAAACAGTGCACAGCTGCAGCAGAGTGCAGCTCTTAAGCAATAACTCCAGTCAGTGCATATATACATACAAATATACGTGTATATACAGACAAGGGTGCTCGTGGGCACGTGAAGGGAAAAGCAGTGTTTGCAGAACAGAAGTTAATCTAACTGCTTTCCATATTTATGCTTCTACAGGGAAAACCGCTTGGATTCAGAATAAATCATTACTGAGATAAATTACGAAAGAAGCACTTTCTGAAATTATATTCTTATCTGAAGTAAAATATAGTGTTTATATGTATTAACAGGTGAAACTAATGGAACTACTAGGCCTATATACTGAAAACAAACAAACAACTCTATTCTGTCTTTGAGACAGAATGGTTTTTAAATATCCACAAGATATTTAGTGTTGCAGTGATGGATGCTGAGCATTTGACCATCTCTGGATGTAAATACCTAGAAAAGTCACTTGGAAACAAAAGCCCTTTTTGCAAGGGACTGAGCATCTGCAAACACCCCACACGGAGTCAGCTCCCGCCTGTATTCATCCAGCATAATGTGGGAATCACAGGGAAAAGAAGCATTACTGCAAATGTGCCTTGATATTTAAGGAACCTCCGTCTGGAGCTGGATGCTTGGTGCCTGGATTTACAAGGCTTGGTAAGGGTGTCTGCAAGAGAAGAACAGTGATGCGAGCAGAGGAGGAGAAGGTGGTTTGTGGATAACTGAGACAAACCATCTATTCTGAATCCAGTAACAGGTCACTCCGTGGCGTTGGGTTACTACTGAGATTCTTGTGCCAGCTTGTTCCAAGTTCTCTTGTTTTAGCTCTTCTGTTGAGTTTTTTCCCTCTTTCTTAGTTCATTTCACAAAAAAAAAAAAGAACACAGAAAAATGGAAATACACTTCAGTCAAACTTCAAATTCTCCTGATAAATATTAATTTCCACTTTTTTTTTTTTTAAAAAAAAAGTGCATGCTTGAGGCATTTTGAGTGGTAGCTATGTGTGTTAAATCTCCCATTCTTTGTTCCAGCTTCTTTAAAAAAAAATAAAAAAAATCAGCCAATCAAAAGTGCCTAGACCGACGCCGTCTTCCTCAGTTAATCCAAGGCCAGGAGAGGGATAATTTGATTAAACTGAGACCCTAATTTATTTAGCTTTAGTTCTGGATCAACCTCTCCTTAATAGAGTCCCGTCGTCCCCGATTGTTTGATGAAAATTAAAGTGACATAAATGCCATGGGACTTTTCCAATCTGATTAGTCAGCTAACTCGCCTCAATGCCACCGCAGCCATCAGGCGCTGGCGTCCCTCCTTTCACCGGCGCCGCGAACGAGTGACAAGTCCTCCTTGAGGCCTGGGCACCCACGCTGCCGCGCAGAGCCCCGCACTTAAACCATCATCCGCCCTCAATGGGGCGGCTTTGACAAGGTGCCCGCACCTTCCTCCACTGCCGTTCATCAGACAAAGCTAAATATTGTTTTATTAGCAATCAATAGCCTGTTAATCCCAAACGATTTCACAAATCCACTGAGCTCTCAAGCTGATTATAAACATTTGGGTTCTTTTTTTTTTAAAGCTGCTAGATTTCAGAGGGGCTTTCTCCTCCTTTCCCAACCCTCCCTCTCTGATGTGGGACATTGTAGTTGGCGAGCAGTGCCACAAAAGCAAAAGAGGGCTGTCATCTTTCACGTTGCCTTTAACTAGACATCCACAAACATTAAGAGTTTTACAGTTTAAACAGCATCAAACCTGTAGCACCCAACCCTCAACAGACTTGCTGATTGGCCTGAAATTGAAGAATAAGAAAGCTTCTGAGCTGGCCCTTTTCTTTTATAGCCATGCAGTAAATTCTTGTTTAGCCTATGGGCCGGCAGCATAAGGAGAGAAGCAAGGCTCTTGGGTGTGCGATGTATAAATGCTAACGAAGTGGGTCGGTGCACCATGTCCCTGGCACGGACGGAATGCCTGGGCACTCCTGGTCCCCTCTGGTGATCCCTTTCCACGCCGGGTTGTGGATGCTTCTCCTGTGAGGCGCAAGGGGGGCAGCACTGCCAACACGCTGCCTCCTCCTGGGTATGGCCATCCTCACGCATCCATGCTGAGGGCCCCAGTAATGTGGATAACGACAGCTAATAATAAAGCAACAGGTCACGCAGGTGGCAGAGAATAAACCAGCAGGTCAAGGCAGGAATACGCTAGCGAAGGCCGCACGCCGAGGGCAGGAAGCTTCTGGAAACAGGCTCTTGCTTTCCAGGCCTAACAGTTCCACCCCGGACGCGCAGCAGATGTTTCCAAGCAGCAGGTACGAGGGTCTGAACCAGTAACTGCATGTTCAGACACCTTCAAACTACTATTGCAGGGAAGAGAGTGAGTCTGGGGCCCATGGGAAATC